CAAAATGCTTTTGCTATTTCAGAGAATTTATCAAGGTTTTTTGGTTTAGGTTTGTTTTACAGCATATCAATCTCAATGGGTTATTTAATGCTGACAAAATTTTTATTGCTGGTTTTGTTTTGTCAAAAATCTATTTCTTGTAATAACTTTTTTCCTTCAAAACTGTATTGCTGGTAATATTTTTTTTTTCAAAAATGTATTGCTGATAATAATTTTTTTACAAAGTATTTCTGGTATTAAAACCTATTTTTACACTTTCATAGTGTTTTGACCCCAGTTTAGGGGTTAACTATTTGCCCATAGCTGGGACAGTGACAGGTGCTACCACTTTGGGTCCACCAGCAATTAAGAGGCGGTTCCACGCTCCTCAAAACCTGATCAGAGGCCTTGGTGTTGGACATAGTTTATCATCTTACCCAGGATGTGGATGTAGTTTATCGTCATACCCAGGATGCAGGATTTATCAAGGATACTTTGAATGTCTTCTAGACCACATGCTAATAGAGCAGCATCATCTGCAAAGAGAAGATTGTGTACCAGCTGCAGACAAGGTTTTGATTGTGCTGATTGTATAGACCTCCACTTGTTCTGAATTCAACATTGACTCCTTCACTTAAGTCAGATAAAACTTTTTCAAGCGTAGCAGAAAAAAAAAAGGGCAAAGAGAAGAGGAGCAAGAACGCAACCTTGCTTTGTACCGTTGGAGACGAAAAAGGCACCCGACTGCTCATTTGCCGACCTTACAAAAGCTTTTATTCCTTCGTGAAAGGAGATAATATGGAGCATTTTTTCTGGAACACCTAATTTTGACAAAACTTTCCAAAAAGCAGTTAGAGATACAGTATCGAAAACCTTTGTAAAGTCTACAAAAACAACAAATAGATCCTTGTTTCATTATTGTGCCTTCTCCTGAGCTTGCTGGAGACAAAAGATCATATCTATGGTTCCTCTACTGGATCAAAAATCACACTGTGTCTCTGGTAATGCCGATTCTGAGACAAATTCATTATGCCTATTCAGGATGATAAGAGCAAGGATTTTGCCAGCAACCGAAAGAAGAGATATTCCTCTATGTTTGTCCCATTCACGCCTGTTCGCTTTGTGCTTATACAAATGGACAATTGAAGTATCTTTATATTGCTGTGGCACGTCTCCTTTTCCCACACAAGGTAGAAAAATTCACAAATTTTGTGTATCAAAAGATTGGTGAAACATTTGTATATTTCAGCTGGAATTCCATCTTTGCTGGAGGCTTTCCCAATCAAAATCTGTTTAGTGGCTTTTTTGAGCTTGAAGGTTGAAGGGTTAGCAGAAAGTCTTTGTACAACAGGTCTCTAAAGAAGACTCTTTATTACTTCGTCATCAACAGACGAATCCTGATTTAGGATTGTGGTGAAGTGTTCTGCCCAGTGTTTGATAATGTGGCTTTTGTCTGTTAAAAGAGTGTTATCTGAAGAAAAGATTGGTGATCAACCGCTGGAAATGGGACAAAAAACACCCTTCAAGTTTTGGTAGCATGATTTGAAGGCACATCTGCCAGCAGCTTCCTGCAAAGCTTTAGGCTTTGCTTCCCACCAGTCCCACTTCATCTCCCTCAATTTTGTTTGGGACTTTCTCTCGGCTGATTTAAAGGCCCGTTTCTGCTTTGTGTGCTATCCAGACCGGATGACATTTATGCATGTTTTCAAGGAGAGATTTAATTGTGTTGGTGATTACAAGATCAAATTCACTGCACTGCAAAGTGACAGCAGCAATACCCCATTATATATATATATATACACATACATATATATATATAAAATGGCTGGTTTCTCATATATGAGTATGCCTGTGTCTGCTAGGGCAGCCAGCCAATACCTGTTTAGGCACATATGTGCTTGTTCAATGCCCACAAAAACTACCTGTGGTTTATACTGCAACTCTGTTAAGCAGACCTTAGTAACAGCTTCTGAAAGAGGGAGCCTATCATCTGGTGTGATCAACACTTTGAACAAGACCAGCACACTCAAACCCCCAGTCATGATGACTTGTGATTTTATGTTAGCATAACCATTGAAAAACAATTCCCTGTAGGTTTCGTAAAGCCAGAAAATATTTTTTTATATTAATAGTAAACATTCTTGGAGATGATTTATTGATACAAGTCCTATTAGTTTGACCCATAGCTGGAGGAGAAGAGGTGGATTGTTAAGAGTATTTGTGCACAAGTGAATATAATGAAGCTGACTTGAATTGAAACTCCACGCTCTGATTTCCAATTGTGAGCTGTTATCCATTACACCACCCGCATATCCAAGCTTACAGTGTCTAATATTCCCAAGCAGTACCCCATCTAGGTGCTGGCCAGGCTCATTGTTGCTTAATTTAGGTGATCATATGAGAAACAGTGTTTTAATGTGTTATGGGCATAGGCCTATCAATGCTAGCAAGAGCAATAACAGCTACTGAACTTGAGAAACCTATTTTCTTAAAAAGGTTAGGAAGGTAGCCTCCATCTATACTGGAAAGATGGATAACAACTACTGGACTTGAGAAACCTATATCCCCACCGAGATGTTTAAGAAGCTAGCTTCCATCAATATTGGAAAGAGCAATAACTGCTACTGGACTCGAGAAACCTATCTTCCTGAAAAGGTTAAGAAGCTAGCGTCCTCCTATACTTGAAAGAGCAATAAAAGCTAGTGGACTTGAGAAACGTATTTTACTGAAAAATTATTTTAGGAGAAAGATTTGATAAAGTTCAACTGATGGTAGCACTGGCTGCTTGATCAATGAATACCAAACATTTTTTTTGTAGGAAGTGAGTGAGTACATGTATTTTAATGGCATATCAACTTTTGAGGGTTATTTAATGCTAAAACAGTTTTTCCATTCCTTTTTAAAATCATAGCTCCTAGTTATTGATGTAATGAATATGCATACACCTGCATTCCCCCTCACAGTAATATGATTAGCTGGTGTCAGCCATAAATACAGACTGATGTGAAGGTACATTTGCCTACCACTACGACGAGGACCAGTCCATTACAGTTACCTGCTAGATTGTCCTACCCAGTTACAGTAGTCAAAACCACAAAAGCTACTTCGAACAAATATATCCCTTTTTGGGACATATCAGTTACTTTACAACATTTTTCCGCCACATTCCTTATTACAGTCCAATTTCTTTTGTTTGATTTTTATTTATTTTATATTAGTTTATAGAGGTTTGATTTTTTTAAGAAACCTACAATTTTGGCAGGGTTTAATTTTTGGAACAACATTTTAAGGTTTGGAGTTTGGTAATATTTATTACATACTTTACTGTACTTTTTGCAATCAGCTAATATCATAACAGCTTCAAAACATTCAATAGCAGCTCGAGTATTTTTCCACTGGTTTCCTTTCAGTATTGTTCTTAACTCCTTGCAATTTCTTTCCAATTCTTACTCATTCTGCTAATCTGTCTTTTTAAGGTTAATAAGTCACCACACTAAATTAATCTTATACCAATCTTTGAGCACTTCTTACAATGCTCTGAAACAAAAAGCCAAATTATAGAAATTATGCCAAATTTGAAAGCTGCTTGCACAAACAGTATGTTAGATAAAACACTCAGATTTTTTCAATACTTGTCTATGTATTGTAACTATTTACATTGTCTGGACTGTTGTCCTCATCTTTGTTGTCATGTTCACAATGTTTTGGCCATTGTATTCTCCAGCCTTCTTCAGATGATACATGTTGAAATTTCAAACTGAACACTTAGGGTAGGTTGTTCTAGTTCCACATGCCATGCCTTTTCTGGATATATCAGTTTCATTTATTTCCATTTAGTAACTCAACTCTCCAAGTTTTTGTTCACCCACTGCTGTGGCCAGGGATTGAACTCACAACTGTCCACATAGCCCAGTAGACAAAAAGCATTGGTTGAAGTAATCCAGTGACTTGACCCAAAGAGTTGTGAGTTCAATATCTGGCCACAGCAGAGGTAGACAAACCCTCAAAAAAAACAAAAAAAAACTTTGAGTTACAAAAGGGAAATAAATGAAACTTAAAAAGGCATGGCATGTGGAAATAGAACAATCTACTCCTGTGGGCTAAATAAAGGGTTTGGTTTGAAATTCCAACATTTTTTACTTGAAGTCCTGAGTGTACAATGGCTGAAATGTTGTGAATATGACAAAGATAAGGACAATAGTCTGAGCTAGGTAAATAGTTTAAACATTCAGATTTTTCCTGTCATTTATAATTTATTAGATTGTATATATGCTACATTTATTACCATTACAAAAGTGTCAGAATAATTTGTTGAAATGTGTTTGATGTTTTTTCATGTCTTCAAAAATGGTTATTTTCAAGTCCTCTTTTGACCATATTGGCAGTTAAAAAATGTTCATAGTTTTGGCTAGGAATTAAAAAAAAATGATAAAACATTTGTGTTGCTCTAGCTTCTGTCTGAAATAAAACATTTTTAAAGATTCAGTTTTCATTCTTTTGTTATAGCTTGATCCACTTATTTTTTTGTATACTTTAATAGCCATTAAATACTGTAATCCTTTGTGTATAGATGGCTAGGGAGTATAAGACATAGTTAAAAATGCAGAGAAATTCCAAGGAATAAAATGCACCTGAGTGCAAAGAAAATAATCAACACTTGTGAAAAAGGAATAAAAGAAACGGAATATTTTGTTTACTTCTGTGATTTGTAAGCATTACGAAAGCATGTACATTTTTTTTTTCTTTTTTTAATTGCACAGGGGAGTCAGTCTTGTCACCCCTACATAATATAACATGACAAGACTTTTGGACCACTCTGTAAGTTAAATAATATTTTTTTTTTTTTTCTAAACTTTGGATGATTTCCAAAATCACATAAGTGTCTAGACTCAACAAAATCCGGAAAAACTACAAAACCATATGGGACATAGAGAAACATTATGAAAGATTTATTTCCCTTTGTTGCAATGTGCCATTAGATAGATATTATCTCTCTGTTAAAAAAATAAATCCAATTTGAC